TAAAAAAACAACAAACAAACAAACATTTTGAATGACCAAGTAATCTTACTATGATGTAACCTTTCAAGACTAAGTCAGATAACCTACGAATATCTTAGTTACTAAAACTGCAAGACTGTCCTTCACTAACATCAATGAAAACAATGACGCTCACAATATTTTTCAGTTGATATGGTGTAGGTTTTCCAGTAACTCTGTCTTTCCTTCAGTAAAAATCACATGCTCTCGAATATTTCAGGCTTGGTCTCAAACTGTATTTAGAATACACAGACCACGCCATGTTTTTATCTCGGCACAATTCAAGCCAACCACTGCGGTTTTCCACAATATGTATCATATAACAACCAATACACAATTTGTACCACATGGTGTGACTGTTGAATGGATTCATGATTTCTATAACAACTTACCTAAAGCCAGTTACGAACTCCACATGATTTCTGGAAAGTGTGATGAGGTGAAGCCTGCAGACGACACCCATAAAATTAAGATTACCCTAATTTAAATCATGTTAAGAAAATGGAGTTTTCAGACATGTAAACAAACAAAAATAAACTACTCTTCTATTAACTTCCATCCAGCCCCCCAGTGGCAGAGCGGTATGACTGCGGACTTACAACGCTAGAAACCGGGTTTCGATACCCGTGGTGGGCAGAGCACAGATAGCCCATTGTGTAGCTTTGTGCTTAACTTCAAACAATCCTATTTGTAATATTTAGGTTTTTATAATGCTCTATTCTCTTTTTTTACTTGTCTAAATTGTGATGTAATTATTTTGCAGGGGTGAAAGTAAGTTACATCAATTTTTTGACTGTTACACAAGATATTATAAATTGTCCATAAGTTTTGAATCTAGGAATGAACGGATTGATGTAAAGTTAAAGTGGAGAGGAAAGTATGGTATGCAGGTATAACATATGTTTCTTTCCTTCTTAGTTAATACATATATATTTTAAAAACATTATGCTCACATCAGTATTGAAAGTTGATCAAGAGAGCAATTAAGTTGCTTTTACCTTAGTTACTCATGGAACTGGGTCAGTCAACTAGGATTTTACATGTACTTCCTCGTGGGAAAGATTGCTTTAATATCGAGCTTTATGTATAGAAATTGGCAGTGATCTTTCCACCAACAAGTAGGGTGAGTTCCCAAAGATACAACATCCCTTGTTTTGTTATGTGAGTGCCTGCACCCTGAGAAGAATAACTTTGTTGTTAATGGTGTATAATGTCAATTTTTCTCAGTCTGGAACAACTGAACTCAGAATTCATTAGAACACTTTTCTTAAGATTACATCTCTCTCCAGTAAAAGTACCACTCTTAACACTTGTAATTAACTCTAGTTGTATTTGAGTAACTGAAATATTGTTTTACTGTGTGTAATTTGTGTACAGTCTCTCTTTTGTTTCAAAATAAATCAATATTAAGAAACTGTCAATTTCTGCTTGGCATTGCCGTAGATAACCTCACGCTATTTTGCAGTTCCTACCCAATTACTCGATTGAAATCGGTAAACCTGAGCATATCACACAGTAGAGCTATTGCAATGGTTTCTAACTCTATTAAAATCCTGATAACACAGATGCATTACCTTGTATTTACTATAATAAAATGACATTTGCTAAATATGCGTTCAAATTACCAATTGATGAAAGTAATCTTGTAATACCTCGGCAACCTCACTGGGTTTTTTTATCATAAAGATTAGTTTGTTACGTCTCTGGTCGTTAGTTAATTTTCCGTAAAAATTATTTCAGAAGAAATTTTAGCGATACAAGTCCTTTCTTAAATAAAACTAGTTTATTCCTTCTCAATACAGGCTCGGCATGGCCAGGTGGTTACGGCGCTCGACTCGTAATCTGAGGGTCGCGGGTTCGAATCCCCGTCACACAAAACATGCTCGCCCTTTCAGCCGCGGCGGCGTTATAAAGTGCGGTCAATCACACTATTCGTTGCTAAAAGAGTAGCCCAAAAGTTGGCGGTGGGTGGTGATGACTAGTTGCCTTCCCTCTAGTCTTACACTGCTAAATTAGAGACGGCTAGCGCAGATAGCCTTCGAGTAGCTTTGCGCGAAATTCAAAACAAATAAACAAAACCATTGCGGCTTCATCAGGGTTAATACTACAAAATCAGTTCTTGTACTACTTACCAGCACTGATGAAGCCGCCATGGCGAAACATTTGTTGAAATAAAAATATTTTGTATTATTTATATCTTAAGAGTAAAGGTTTTTTTTTTTTACTTTATTGCCAATATGATATGGAATGAAGTATATATAACGTGTGTGAGAATACAGCTAAGCTCAATTCTTAATTGTTTTTATTGATACCATCTATACGATTGCTGCAGTAAAATATGTGTGAGATTCTTCGCTACCTAGCGAAAAAAACAAACTAATTATGTGAGGGCTCTATTGGTGTTTTTTTGTATTACTATAATCGAATAAGGTCGTTGTGTTCTTTACCATCATTACCGTGTAATTCTTGTGAAATATAGCATTTCTCGAGCACGTTTACTATAGGTTTAACAATTATATCAGTTAAAGTTTTAATTAATTATTCCAATTATATTTAAACTTAAAATAAAATTATCTATTGCTAGTTATTGTTTTTGCGGTTGGTAGTAATAAGTAAAGCAAATGACTTAAATGCACAAATGGGTAGGTAAGGGATAAATTGAGCATGTAATAACAGTTTTAATTTTATTTTCGTAATTTCTAGAATTTAGAAAGCACAATACATATCTTGCGAGAGCCACCAAGAGTCGATACTAAAATTGATAACGCAATGATTAACAGTTGACTTGTAAATAATTTTCAGAGGAAAATAAATTAGTTTTATCAAGTGAAATATTCAGTTTAACTTTTAGAAACCAAAATTAAAAGTTTAATTTTATGTTAGCGCTATTTCTTGTCATTAATGTTTATGCATAAAATTTCAAATCGGAATCAAAGTTATACCTTCATAAGTTTTTAAGACATATAAGTTGTGGAAGGTTTATGATAGTTTAACCTTTGGCTCAAAACATAAAATGTTACTCTTATGTCTAAGGAAAGGCTTTTATGTTTACTACCATTGTGATCCATATTTTTCAGAATTCAGTGCAAGCTGATTACACCTCCTTACAAGAAGTTAAATTTAAAGTATACTTGTAATGTAACATGAGAACAACAAAACCATTTGATCTTTCAAAGTTGACCCAGCACACCCACCCTTTAGTAAAATAAAAGCAATAACTAAATCATCTTTTATTTTCCAGGAATTGTAGATAACTTTTTAAACTCTTGTAAAGAGCTTGTGTTCACAACTGCTGATGCAACTAATTCCATAAGCTAATCATCCTGTTAGAAAACTAAATTTTAATTCAAATATTTCCTGTCTTTTTCATTATCTTAAACTTGTACACTCTTGTCCAGTTGTCTTTGGAACATAGAAAAGAGAAATATAGTGTAGCTTCTGTTGATCTAACAGATAATTTTGTATACTTTCATAATGTCATATTTAAAATTTTATTTTCAAGAGAAGATGAGTTATGAAGTCTTAATCCACATAAGATAACTTTCTGTCCCCAGAATCATCGTAGTAGCCATCTTTTGAACCATTTCCAATTAGTCAGTATCCTTAGATTAGGGAAACAAAACAGAATACTTTTCCATATGAAACCTGACTAGCAATCTCTATAATCTCTATATATTTATATATTTTTAAAACTTGTTACAATTTGTGGGGGTATAATGGAAAAGTACATATTTCCTTTAGTGAATTCATTTAGGTTCTCTCCTATGATACAATAATTCACAAGATGATTTTTTCAAAGTTTCTTTTATCAGATTTCTAGAATTTTTTTCCCTCTACAAAAATATTACTAACCAGTCTGTAAGTACCAAAGTAACTCTTATCATCACTGTTAAAAGTAAGAGTTATATTGGCAACTCTCCTATCATTGGGCACATAGCAAGTGTCTATTGACCTACAAAAGTTGAAAAAGCGGGACTTGCATATCTGACCTTTGACATCTTCTAAGCTCATGGAGAAAAAACACTGTGTGGTCCTGGTGGTTAGTCTATTTTTTAATCACAATAATTTTATTTACCACTTGGAATATTGCTAATATCCTGTCACTTGAAAACAGAATAGAAATTCAGCCATTTCATAATCTATAAAAACATTTTGCAGTCAGTGCTTTGTAAGGGTTAATTCCCCATTTTTTAAGATGTTGTTTATTTTTAACATCAAGAAAAAAATCCTTTGTTAGTTTTAAAATTATCAGCCAGTGTTTCTTGTGACATTGGTAGAAAAGTAGTGATGTGCATATAAATCTGACTGAATAGTAGAAAACAGAAAAAAAAGAGATGATGAATGGCTACTTTTTCAATACATGTAGGAGAATATTATTAGTGTGAGCCCTCATGGGTTTGTTTTAAGAGCCATCCAGTGGCACAGTGGTATGTCTGCAGATTTACAATGCTAGAAACCGGGTTTAAATACCAGTGGTGAGTAGAGCACAGATAGTCCATTGTGTAGCTTTGTGCTTAACTTCAAACGCACAAACAAACTGTTTTAAGAAGTTTGTTCTTTATTATTTGAATTTTCTTTCTTCATAATTTGGTTATATTCCTAAATTTGCTGAAGACAAATGCTAGGAAGAGCTGATGTAATTTCTTCTTCCACTTCTGTGTAGACTGACTTTGCAACCTGAGAATTTGAAAGAAAAACATCATTAAGAAAATAAGCTAACATTACAAAATGCTGACTAGAGTATATTAAATATATTGTACTATGAAGAAAATTAACATAAACTCCAAGTTTTTTTATTTTTATGATTGTGTCATTTGTAAAACTTCTTCGGGAGCAATCCTCTACTTAAAAGTGGTTGGCCTGTAGTGGTTATGATATAATGGTGTAGTTAATTTGATTAGAATGCGACTAGTGGTGAATGATCAAAACTATTTATCTATTGCATGCAAGGCTTTCGTGACATATAAACAACCTTGCTATAGTACTTCTGTGCCTAGTGAGGATGTATTTTTAACAGCACGTGATATTTTTCATGCAGAGAGGTCACAGTTGAAGGCTATAAATATAAACATGCTGATTTTTCATAATGAAAACTATGATCATTGTTTAGATTTCTGTAATTATCAGACACACATTGCTTAGTTGTTTTTTTACTCTTTTCTCAGATGTATGGTGAACACTTTTGGTGCATCTGTAAGTTGGATCTGATATGCAAAACCACATGGTGACGTACAGAGTTACTGCATTTACTTAAGTATGTATTTTTTGTTGATTTTGCTAAATCTCAAGCAAGAGGAATACTCTTGTGATTGATATAAGTTACGAGTTTGTTTGTTGGTCTAAAAATGTATATTATTTTTAGTTCATGCAAATAAGAGTGTGAAGATTTTCACTTGTTTCTTGATATGTATCTTAGTTTGTGTGTCATGACTGTAGTGGAGTGTCTCATCCCTATTTATGGACTGTTAACCATAATTTTTTTAACCCTATTAAAAGTAGTGGTGTACCAGAATATTGGAATTTAGCCAGTGTTAATGGTTGCAATAAACAGTGGTCCAAGAAATAACCATCCATTTGGTCTTACTTAAGTGGTGAAATTACAGTCTATTATTAAATAAATTCTGTAGTAACACTTACACAAGTTTCATAATTTCACAGGTAGTCAGCATGAATTTATAAAGGAGAGGTCATGTCTTATGAATTTGCTAACCTTGTTTAAAAGTGATACATTTAAAGCTCATTCACACCTTATGTCACATGATGTGACATTATGTGATGTAACAAAAGCCTACACTTTGAACTTTGGATATATATACATTGTTTTAATATGCTCTACTTACATCAGAGATGATGCTTTGCTGAATTACACTACAAAAAGAGCTGGTGAAAATATTTCATCTTTTGTAGCAACAAAGTGCTGTATTTTTTAGAAATTGATAGAAAATTAATGAAAAAAAGAGGAAACAGTTTGCTCACTCGGCTTCAGAGACAAGCAGTGTTGAAAGGATGGACAATGTAAAATATATTGCAGCAGTACAAGTCAGGTTTGAATTATATGAGGATTTTATTTTTTGTCAGACTATACAGACAAGTTTAGGAGAGGAAACATCTGGAAGGAAATTCTGCAGATGGGTAGGTGATGGGGTTAGAACTAGAAGATTAACTTGATTAATCAATGTAATCTATTACCTACGAGCGTCAATTACATGGATTAGTGTCTTGTAAAATAATTGATTAATCAAAATTACGATTAAATTTATTAATATCAAAAAATGATCAACTAATCAGAATTAGTGTTTCCAATTATTACTGTTTTCAGTTATTCCAAGTAATTGAAATATTGCCATTATGAAATATTTATTATTTTCAATTAATTAAAAGTTGTTCAGCTCAATCTGTTAGTGTCATGACTCATGAAAACAATCAACTAATCCAAGTTAGTGTTTCCGATTATTACTGTATTTCATCATTCAGTTATCTAAGTCTTATGTAAGAATAATCAGATAGTTGCATGTAATTTAATAATGAGCCCAGTGATTAATAAATTATCAAATTCTGCTTTAGACAGGTTGATGGTCAATTTCATACTGTACACTAGATAATTATACATTTTCTATTTATTGTTTCAAACATTTTGCAGTCACAAGTCCCATAGAATGCCAAACAATACACAAGATTGGCTACTTACCTTATGCTTGCTGTCAGTTTTTCAAATTTTAAAATATTGGCACATGTTTACATTAAAAAAAAAAATTGTACAACTCATATAAAGAAAATTAGTACGAGTATCTTGTAAGATATTACTTGAAGACATTCTGATTTTAGGGATGTGATACACAGCTTCACTAATATAAAAAACTAAAATGAAATGACTAAACTTACAAATCACTTCAGTTATGTCTTGTAGTAAATCAGTGTTATTGTTCTTTTTTTTATCCATTGTTTAGGTATTCTTTAATATATATACATGAAGTTTTTCAATGATATTTCAACCTGAAAACAGGAAAAAAGGTAAATAACCTGAATAAAAATGAATCAGAACATGTTAATGAACACTGTACTGTACATTATCTTTATAGTTGGCCTCTTCTTCTGCCATGGAATTTGCTCTACAGGTGAAACAAATAATTCTTTATCCTGAATCATTGATGACTGCCTTGAAGCAAAATTGACAAAGAATCCTTACATCCTATCTCCACCATTCACATTTCCTTATGCAACTACTCTGTCTACTAGTTTAATGGGACAGTATTGTTCAAGTCTTAATTGGGATTATTTCATCTTAGGATTTGAAATAATTGTGAATTATACAAGCTGCTTTAACTACAGTGTCTGTTGTTTCTGGATGAACCAAAAGTTGTCTCTGAAAGCTAGAATACCAAAGTCATTCTGTGACAGTTTCCTTACCCTGAACAAATGATTGTTGAATATACAATTATTCTCACTGAGATTTTGTACAGGATGAGGTTGTATCATATAGGGCTTTAATAGGAAAGTCTCATCATCCATAACAATGTAAGGCACAAAGTTATTTGTGCCAGGAAGTGTACAAAGTGGGGAGGATGATATTCAGTTTAAAGCCCTTTTCTAGTGTTTTTCCAAACTGTGAATTGGTTAGTATTCCATCATCATTATTCCAGTGAAATACTCTGTTATGAGTCATCTGTTGCCAAAAATCTGAGGGAAAAAAAACACAACAATTATGAAATTATGTGGGTATCTATTTGAATGCATGCTATGAAATTTTAATCTTTTGTCAGTGCACGAATGCCAGAAACTTTGGGAAATCTAAGGGACAGGTTTGTCATGGAGAAGAACACACCCGACATGAAGAAAGATGGTTTTTAGCTCCTTTTTTTCCAAACAGAGTAAGTATACATCTTTCCTTTAATTAATGAGCTATATTTAATTTTTACTTTAATATATCAGTATTGTATAGTTTATTTTATATATCTTCTGTTTGCTGTTGTATACACTATATATTTGATTAAATGAAGAGTAATTAATATAGTTTTATATATTATATGATTTGCTTGCCCTTACATTCTAGCATAATTATAAAAGTAGCTCTTACATATCATGTTACATGCAATTAATCATTAAATGAACTTATTTAATAATAATAACAACAAAGAAAAAGAAAAATGGGCTGGATAAGCTAATGAATGAAACAAAACATGAGCAAAAAATGTATAATTGTACATTTTAATTTATTTTAGATCTAGTGGCAGTGTACCAGAAGAACTCATTGACTCCGCCATTAAAGAGCCTGAGACTATATCAGATGCCACAAGTCCAGCACGTTCCATGATCACCTCAATCAAGCATTTTTACAACAGATAACATAAAAGCTGTAACGAAGACCACTAGGCATCCCCTATACCAAGTTCAAATCCAGTCTCCATTTACCATTATTCAGCATGCAGAAAGGCACCATGAGACTTTAGTTATCTGTTGTTTTTTTTGTCAGATTGTTAATGCTGTTTTTATAGTTTATATAAGGGTCAGTGATACTGTATATTTATTTATTTTTCATAATTGAGAAAGTTTATTATATTTATACTGCAACTGTATTCATAATTGTTGTAAGTTGCTTTAAATAAAGGCTTAGTCAAATGAATAAATAAAATGTTTTTAATAATTACGTGTTAATTTTTCATACATAAGAAAGTTACTTTCAGTTATTATCTGTTACTATAATTATAACACACTAGTTGCAAGCATTAGCATGATAATGAAAAATTACTCCAATATGCAAAAACACATAAATACCATATATTAATTTTTAAGTAAGATGATCCAAAAACCTAGCATAAACAGCATTAATGCAAATAGTACATTCATTAAAGTGATTACTAGTTACTGACCAGCATGGGTAGGTGGTAATTTAAGTCCAACTCTTGTAAAACTTCATCAAACTAAGAGATGATCATGTGAAAGTATTTGTTGTAAGGAGAAAAAATCCACTATATGCATTAAACAAAAGTCCAGAGAAACAGCTTTTGAATGCATTGTTTATTTATTTATTTAACTTTATTACAATTTTTGAACCACTTGTGGTCATCATCAGGTAAATGGGAGGTTGAAATGTTGTTATAAAGTTAAAAAAAAAAATAATCCACTCAAAAGCTATGTCTCTGGATCTTTATATGAAAGTATTGATGGAATCGTTCAGTATCTAACCAGACATCGGTATTCTCTTACCTTCTCATGTCTTCCAGTTATGTGATGAATTCACAATGATTGTTTTATTTATTTTCTTACTAGCAGCAATAGTAAAAAAAGACCATCATCTACTTACATGACCACAGGTCACGACTTAAAGTAGTTTTGATGTGAGTCTTACCTTTTCTGGCACCCCCAGTGGCACAGTGCTAGAAACCAGGTTTCGATACCCATGGTGGGCAGAGCACAGATAGCCCATTGTGTAGCTTTGTGCTTAAACTACAAACAAAACAAACACTTTGTAGCATTGTATCTGGTATGAATGAGCCATTAATCTAAATATGAATAATGCAGTTTATTTTGTGTATTTGGACTTCTGAGATGCATTTGATAAAATATCACATTATTAATTTTTGCTTATCAAGCTGTATATCATAATTTGAGAAAATTGACAGATTCTGTGTGTGCTGTATGATAGCTTCAGTGTAATCCAGTGTGATGGATTTGTACAAAATTTAAATGTTGAAACTATTATGCTTGCTCAACACTTGTGAGATTTTCACAGAATCTAAGTAATTCAAGAGTTCTTTCCCATCTTTGCACAAATTAGCTGACTAATTTATGAGTTACATAATGGCAAACTGGTAAACAATCCACAAACCAGTTGACAGGTTTGTATTTTGCTGATGTTTTTACAAATGAATTCATCAAGGACAAACATTCACTTGTTTCTTCCATCTTTCATTTTTTCCTTTTTTTTTTTTGTGAATGAAAGCTCACTAACAGTAGCAGACAAATATTCAAATATAAATTGAATGGGTGCCTTGAATAGTAATATTAGGTATTTATTTCAACAGTGGCAGGTGCTTGAAAATTGGAGAGTTGCTAATGTTATTCCTATTTTTCAAGGAAGTAATGAAATATTCTGGAAATTGTAGACCATTAGTCTTACTTCTTTAATGGTAACAATTATGAAGAGTTTTAATAAAAATATTTGTATAAAATCATTTACTGAAATATGGTATTATGAGAAGAGAGCCAACATAAACTCATTAAAGGAAAATCTTGTTTTATTAATCTGTTAATTTTTTGTTTTGAGGATGTTACTTGTTACATGGATGATGTAAATAGTGTACTTAGATTTACAAAAAAGCTTTTGATAAGATGCCACATAGAAGATTAGCTAAGAAACCACATCATTAGAGTTGTGGAAAAAGGCTAGTTAATTGGATTGTATGATGATCAGATGAGAGAGAGGTTATTAACAGAGTTCAGTCAAAGTGGACTTTTATTACTAATGGTATGCTTTAGTGGTCAGTGTTTGAGCCTTTGCTTTTCCTTATTTACATTAATGATGTTGATTGAGGACTTGAAATTAATGTTAGCAAACTAGAAAATTGCAGGTTAATGTTGCAATTTGCTATTGAAACTTGGTAGGCACAAGAAACAAATTGCTAGTAAATATTTCGGAAGGAATATTTGCAGATTCTTACTTTCTAGTATAAGTACACCTGTGATACATGCATTTCATTGATTTATTGTAACCATTCAAGTTTTGAGATTCCCCTTTGAGCTGCATGCATACCCAGGAAAAATATCAGTAAATGGGTATAGTGAGCCTGCAGCTTCATCTCAATTGGTTGTCAAAACAGTTAGCATGTGGGATAACTGGCTAGATTTGCACTATCTGGCCTCTTCATTGAAGATTTGGTAGCAGAGTGGTTAGAAATACTGTTTCCAAATGGTTGCTCATTGAATATAATAATAAAGTAGAAATCATGTACACTGCATGTTTTTTACATTCCTCATAACTTGTTTATTTTATCTAAGAAAGAATATTGACTTATTTGTAAGGGTAAAGAGGTAGGATGACTCCAGGGATAGAAGGATTAATTTATTGGGATGGGTTAAGACCTCCTCAATGATTTTCTCTTGAGAAAATAAGGGTAAGAGGTGATCTTATTGAAGCTTACAAGATTACTTGGGGGTAGGGGTGGGGATAAAGATCTGAATTTCTTTTTATTGTATATGGAAGACAAAAGGATGAGAGGACATAAGTTTAATATATGTAGGAGAAAGGCTAATATTATCTTGCTAACAGTGCTTTGAGCTTATGGAATGAATTGCTTTAGGAGGTGGTGGAAGCCAGCACTTTACCAGAGTTTAAGAAGGGAATAGATGATTTCACAAAACTAAAGGATAACTTTACATTTTTACTTTTTCTGATGGGTAGGTGTGTTGGAACATTCTTGAAGTACAAATGGTCCATTATTGTTATGTTGAATGGATTGAGAGTTGGTTGGGTGGTAGAAGGCAGAAAGCTTCTTAGTGTAATTTTTTATGTTTTTTTTTTTCATTTCCAAGGATTATAAAGAGGATATTTAACCCATCTGCACTATCCTGTTTTCTGCTACCAACTTATAAAAACTTACATACAAAAACTACAGCCAGGTATTACCAAAATTTTTCTATTGCAATATATTGAGGTACATAGGGCTGTTTTGTGTGCAAGAATCTTATCTAATTTATTCAACCTATTGATCAGTTTTTATACTTCAAATCGAAATGTTTTCACGTGTGTTTTTCCTTTTGTACTTTTTCCAGTTGGTATCCATGGTGTTGCACAAAGAAACCTGAGTAACATACTTTACAAAATGCATGTATGGGGAATTAGCTTATATTCATTGCAGAAGTTTTTTTTTCACATTCCTCTTGATTTTTCCTTTGCAGATTCAGAATCAGAGGCTTGTAAAAATAGAATTTTAGGTCCATCTTTTGTCTCCCACAAGTCTCTGCTGAAAAATCCTTTTGTTCATTGTCATAACACATCAGTTGGCCTGGGTAAAAGTATTCCTTAAATTAATTGCAGTGATCCTATCATTATACCTCAAGGTTTTTCTCTCATTCTTGCCAAGAGGATTAAGAATAATGTAAGTGTATTGGGATAATGATCTTTTGAATCTTTATTTTTTCACATGATATTTCATTGTAGAAGTTTTGAAAATCATCTTGGAGCTAGGAAATTTAATTAAAAATATGTAACATTGCCATATTTTCTTATCTCATTAATTTGTTGAATTTTTTATGATAGGGTTTGAATGTATTTGGATGATAAGGTTTCTCACATTAGGTTAATTGGTAAATTATAATCGTACAGAATTGGGGAGAAACTTGAAAGGTTGATCAAAAATTTGTTTGAAGGGAGAAAATGATATGACAAATTGGTACCATTCTGATTGGAAAAATTGGATTAGTGTGGTCTCTGAATGGTCTTTCTTGGGACAGTTGTTTATTGCCTATTGTACAAGGAGAAAGATACATAAATTTGCTGATACATAACATGAAACTGGTGGGTAAGGTTGGTTGGTTGTTTGGAAAATGCTTTCTGCAAAAAGACTTCATCAGCTTTGCCAAATGAGCTACTCTGTGGAAATTGAATTTCATCATAGATAAATGTAAAGTGATCTATTTAGGATATAGACTTTTGGAAAGATCTAATTTTTTTTTGTCTGGGAGAAATTAATGTTGTAGAGAGCAAAGAGGATTTGTGTATGATGATTGATAAAAGCCTCATGCTTTTGGTTTAATGTTTTGAAAAATTGACTGGTGTAAATAGTGTTAGGTTCTGTTTCTTGAAATTAAAAGCATGAAGATCCTCACCACACTATTCAAAACTTTGGTAAGACAAAATTGAGTAATTATGTTCAGATTTGGACCCAATATTATTGAAAAAAAATCATTGATTTGCTCAAAAATTCAGAAATTGACTTTCAGAATGATTCCTGGTTTGGAATATTGAAGCTGTAATGAGAAACATTTAGATTGTTTTCTGGAGTTAGAAGAATTAGATATGACCTGAACCTGAGGTGTGCAGGAGTGGTAGAAGGATGATGTTGGTGATAAATCTTGAGTATTAGAGGAAATAAGTATAAGATACATGACTTGGGATTGAATCTTGTTATTAGGCAAAAGTTATTCCCTGTTAGAATTACTAAGTTGTGGAATGGTTTGACATGGTTTGGTTCATGCTAGTAGTTGGAAATCTTTTTTATTGGATAATTCTGTGGCTGTAAGGACATATCTAAGCTGAGCTTGTGTATTTGTTGGGTGACTTGGCTGTCATCTAATCTTATGTTGAAAAAAATATATATTGAGTGCAATCTGTCATTCGATTTACCATTTGTCACAGAGTTATACAGGTTTTCGTGGAAATCCACTACTTAGTAACCCTGAACAAGAGGAAATCAAAAAAATAAGACTAGACTTCATATAGGATCACAGTGCGAGTAAAATACATCTCAAAACATATGAAGCCTAGTCTTGTTCTTTCAAGTTGCCCTTGTCCAAAGTTACTGATAAGGGGAGGAATTCCCTGAAACAGGTATAACTCAGTGACAAGTGATAAATTGAATGATAGATTGGGGTTGACATTTATTATTTTTAATTTTAAACATATTTCAGCTAAATAATTTACAAGGATCAGTTAGTAGCATCAATGCTGTATATTCTAGAAATTTGTATATAAATATAGGATCAGTGTGTGTGACTCCAAACACCATCCATATACATAATTTTATGTTCTTCTAATTATCTCACTTAATTAGAGATTACTTAATTTATTGTTTATTTGTATAAGCAAATATATAATGTATTTTTTGGGTATCTTATAGTCCTTTTTAAATCAATATATATAAGGTAATATAGAAACTTCGTAACTACACATTATTCAGTGTAGTAACAAGTATGAACTGTGAGAGTTTGTGCCATACCAAAGTAGAATCACTACAGAAGTAAAAGCACATTATCATCAAACTATGAAATATTGAATTAAAAATTTTTTTAGCGTTTGGTTTATTAATGTTTATGATATACATTTTAATAAGATAATCCTTTAGAAACAAAGATCTTTAGATAAAGTTACCATTAAAGTGGTTGTCAGACTTGTGTATTAGTTGTTCAGATTGTGAGTGGTAGCTTGTAGTGTCGCAAAATTTGTGACTTCATTTTCTTTATCTGTTTCTAATTCAAATGCATTGAATGCTTATTATTTATTGAAATAAATGTTGTGTTATACAAATATAAATTACATGTGGTTGAGAATATAGTATGAAAATTACGATTTTTTTAAAAAAAAGTTGTTAAATTATGAAGACATTAAATAGATAAAATTCATAACTAATTGTCTAAAATCACTTTAGGAATACAGATGTATGTATTTACAATTGAAAAAATATGTGTAATTTGTTTATCTAGTTGCAAGAATAAACAATGGTTGGATTTGAGCCTCAAACAAACCAGCTTAGTAGGTGGGACTATAGTGCAGCAGGTGCTGTTAGTGGTATTGCAACACGATTTCTCTGTCAGCCACTGGATGTCTTAAAAATTCGTTTTCAAGTAAGTTGTTGTTGCGTAGTTTAGCAGTAGCCATGGGCTTCTAATTCGACAATGAGATTATTTAATTTAACTTAAGCCTGTTATTAGTTATATAAACCTTATCAGGTTTTTGCATTTTTTTTTTAGATATTTGATTAATTCTTACTGAGTTAAGTTATAAGTATTTGTTAGTATGTATTTATAAATGTGAAATGGGGTAATTAATAAATTATTCTTTGATTAATGTTCATAATATGTGAAAATTCTTTCTACTACTGAACATTATTGCATTTTTTAAATCCTATTAAAACAACTTAAAGTCATAATTCCCATCCAGTACTTTACCTCCAATTGTGTATTAGCTTTCCTCAATTTTCTATGCTTTCTCTCTGTGCAATTTTTTTACTTGCCACTGACCTTGAGGCTTCCACCTACACTCGCATATTTCCATGTGGTATTGCTGCTCTGTTTCATGCAAATGAGCATGTGACAACCCTACACCAATAGGAGTGCTACACATTCTCTTAGCACAGTTGACTCCCTTTATACTGATTGTTAAATCATCACTTCTCGATTTGACTTTTATGTATAATGCCACATTGTTGTTTTTTCGCTCGTAAATTTTTCAGATATAGGCGTTTTTAATGGAAGTATCTACAAAAACATTAAATATTGTGGAAGTACTTATTGTTGGATTCTCATTTTCCAACATTTTCTGCAACTGCAAATTTTGTAGCCTTTTATTTCTACATTATTATTTCATAAGTGTCGTTAGCTTCCACTTTGTCTGGTGTGAAACAACAAGATGTTGTTTATGCTAGTCTGACAACTACATTGGCTTCTAATTTGTCTTTGTCTCTTTCAAGAAGTGACAGCTTTTGTGCAGTGGGTGGTGGAGTCTTTTGTGCAGCCTGTACATTCCTTTGAATGAGAAACATACTTCTGCCTATGTTTCTCATTTGTGATGGAAAGAATTTTGCCAGTCTATTCTCCATCACATACCTTTGCCTACTTTTATACCCATGCTGTCTTGAATCTACCTAAATCTCTTTTGTAATTTCAGGACTGGGTTTATCAGGTATATTTCTTTCCTTCACTTTATAATTCATTCCCAGCTTCTTACTTTTATATTTTTTACTTCCTATTCTGATATGCAAAACAATATTCAATTACTTTTAATACTACCTTGGTTCATGCATGCCTCATCTTCCATCCTTTCTTGCCTCATTATGACTAGGCATAACTTTGTGCTGTATTACCTTTCTTAAACTCCTAAACTATGGATTCTTTAGATTTGGAGGTCAGTTTGTTTGTCTTTATTAGGCTTAAGTTTTCCCCACCTCTACCATTTTCCATTAAATTCTTTCTGTGGTAATCCACCATTCCTCAGAGTGGTTTTTGGTTGTGGATGTTTATTCACTTCTCTCTGGTGGCATGTTTATCTTTCTGGCCTTATCATTTCATATTTGGTTGTTCCCTTGCTAGAGTTTGTTGGGGCATGATGCCCTTGCTATTCAAATGCTTTTGCCTCCCTTTTATCTTATATGTCTTCGACTGGCTCCTTTTCTCTGCCAGTGTGATTTTACTGGAGTGCTTGTTTCTCTGGAGTCACATGATGGGGTTGCATGCCAATGTTATTCCTTATTCTCATTGGTTTACCATCTGTACCCTGCTTCTTTCTGTCTCCTGTCCTTCCACTTCCTCTTCTCTCCCTTTTGAAACTTCTTGTTCCACTGTTCCTATCTGTCCTCCTGCCACTCGTAGACTTCAGTGCTGTCTATTTTGGCAATGAATATCCTCTAGGCCTTTGTTTTTTTCCTCTTCTCTTCCATTGTCTCCTGTTCTTGTTACTTTTCCTCCTCTAAGGGATCTTGTTTCTTGCCAGTGTTGGTCTGTGGCAGTGTTGGACCTAATGGCTAAAGATGTTATCAGACAGGTTTCTCATTCTTTCCCAGGATTTTATTTGTCTTTTCATGGTTCTCAAGGGATCCTTCCATATCCCCTTGGGTTGTGCTAATTTACAACATCTACAATGGACTCTGCATGATCACTGGATCCTTGTTTGGAGTCCCTTATCCTCCACCATTCTCCTTCCTTCTTAATCAGACTTCACTTGATGACTTTATAAAACCAATACCTTAGAGGGTGTTCCTCTTTCTTC